TAATGTTTCGCGCTTGAGTGATTTTAGGCGGGCTTATGTTATTGCAGCATGGTTGCAGTATCTGTTGTGATCGTATACTACTGGGTTTCCCAACACGGAATGAATTTGTCCCGAGTGAGGAATTTAATTGATTTATGGAAGGAATTTTAACTTTGTGATTCCATGTGGTATTACCAATATTCTAACTTATGTAGTATTATTGCAATATCAATTTCTGGGCACTATTTAGAGTTTAGACTGCTCAAAAGCACTGAAGTGGGTTTGCGCGTAAGACTATAGTTAGGGATTCATTAAAGGTTTAAAAACGAACGAAAACAAACCGGATTTATTTGCAAACCGAAAGGAATGAAGAGTTTCAAAGCAGGAGAAGGCAGTGAGAATTGACGGAAACCACAGGTACAATACTTACGTTAATTAAGTGGCAATAGACGATAATCAACAGCAGTACCGGTACTTTGAAATTTGAATGGGGAAATTCGGGTTGGCCAATGACCATCACTACGAGGATTGTGCAAAATAATCAACAACTATGATTATTTATCGTCCCGTATTTATCGTAGCTCTTGGAACTTTAGTGGACGCCTGTAACTTCGCTCAGAGATCACTCTGGGAAAATTCCGGATTTCTACATCGTCATTGTAGTCGTTTGATTTCCACTTGCGAACGCTGGTCTAAACCCTCATGGCGGAAGTGTTCAAAGTAATTAACGACTACGATTCTTCATTGTCTCAGCAGCTTTTAGCGTTTTCACTTAAAACTCCTTCATTTCTGAGTAATTGCGCGTGACCATATTACACAAAATCCCCTCAAAATATAATGTAAAACAGGGTGTCCATGATGTCGCTTTACAATTTCAATTTTGTTGTGAATTCAGTTATCAATATATCTTAACCAGGTTTGTTGTTTTTTAATCAGTAATTGCTCAAGTATTTTTACCTACATTTAATACAACAAAACAATATCAGGTATCGATAAATTCCCTTCTTAAATTTTAAAAGATTTCAAAACTTTATATGAATGTACATGCTTGATTTATCCATTTTTATACTGAATTCTACTATTCGTCATCGCTTCGAGGAAAATCCTTTTCTTCGAGTTTGCGGTATGACCAGAACCACTGTTTACATTAAATTTTCCGGCCAATTTCACGGTTCAGTAAATCCGATTATTACAACATAAACAAGATATTATTAGAACATAATAATGGCGACTCAACCTCCTTTATGATATAAACAGTCGTAAATAAAAATATAAGGGTGGCGTTTCTTATGATATTCTGTCGATGTTCGCTCAGAACAAGGGTCTAAACGAGCATACGCAGATAGGCATAAACTTACCGATACAGAATAGCTAAGGCAAGCACGATTGCTTTCGGAAAATTAAGAGAATTGTGTAGAACATAACTAATATAGGATTGAATATTTTACACATTGAATTTATTATAAATGTTTTCTTGTTTTAAATGCTGTGTATATGAATCAATAATTTCATTTTACTTTTTATGTCGTTTATTTTCTGTTACGTAGTCTTCTGTTACGATCACAAAATTTATTTTTAATCATATACAGCAGTTTTTGTTTTTGTTTAAGTGTGCCGTGATTTTTTTCTGCGATAATTTGGCACCGCACGAAAAAACATTTCGGAAACCTCTGGGCCTTAAAAAATGCTACGGGCAATTTCCACACATTCACTCCAACTAGGGTTCACTCGAGTTTTTTCTAGTTGGTCATTCGAGGCGACAACTTGACCAATACTGGTTATCTATCGCTCATCCCTAATTTTTTGGTCTTTATACTTCAGGGCTTCCCTAACTGGAGGTCGCGACCCCACAGGGTGACGCGCAACGAATTTTAGGGGTCGCAAAGACCAATTTCACACGAAGTTCTATATCTATTGTACTTTTTTATCTTTTGATTCAAAATACATTTATTAAAACTAGTGCAAAACATAAATTTCACGCTTTCGAGCGAATACATATAGGATCAGAGAAGCGGCGCACATAATAGCATGATAAGAGGCTGGTAATTACCTATTTAATCCTAACCTAATCAAGGGATACTAATCAGAAAATTAGTGGATGATCGATATCAATACAATACCTCCAAGCAGATGTTTTACACGAATAATATGATACTGTCCATCAGAAAGGATTTTAGCAATAAATAAATAACTTATGAAAATTACCAGCGATCAACTCGCGGGCCTGACTTTATTCGTGTCGTGGCGACGCCTTTTTTGACCTGTCAGTCCCCGAGAAGGGAATAAGTGGTAATAAATGACTAATAGGTATTTTATATGAACATTATATCCTCAAACCAGCTTCATTGAGAATGTTAAGATAGAACACCTGTTTTGACGATAATTTAAAAGTTAGATACTGTCAGTCATTCATTTTGTTACGGACGCGATTGCCTAGGGCAGGGGTTCTCATTATTTTTGTGTTCCGGATCCCGTGAACAGGTTGATTATTATTCACGGAGCCCCAGAATGAATTTACAAAAATAACAACATTGTTACTGTGTGATTAATGTTCCTGAGTAAACTAAAATTACTTTATTTAATGACCCGGGCGTATTTGCTGCTTTGTAATAAAAGAATATTCAGTATTTTAATAAGTAAATTGAATAGCCCGCGGGTCCCCTAGGTTTCTTATGGTAGATATATTGAGAACTGATTTGATAACAAAATTGAATTTGTAAAGGGGCTTCATGGACACCCATTAAATAAGTATCAATGTTAGTAATACCATACCAACACAAAGTGGCATTTTCTTCCCCGAAACAATTAACTGGAATTCTTTCTGGTTGGTAAACTCTGGCCTAGTGGCTAACAAAATTTGTCTAGTTGCAATAGCGAAGACATAGGTATATTGGCGTTGCAGGTTAACGATCCTTGGACCAGCGTTTAATATATAGGAAGGTATTGATAGTTTACTGTCAGTCACAAGACCGGCATTACTTGCGAGACGGCGTCATGTACGAGGCGCTCTTGCAAAAAATATTTGCCCGCTCCTAGTCCATACAAACTTTTAACAAAGCAATAGTAAAATAAAATGGTCACAATAAATATACAAATTAATATATATAGCGACTTTTATTTCTATTATTTGCCCCGATGAAGTTTGACCATAAAACCATTTTTAATTGTTATTACTTTAAACTTTTTGGACACCCTCTATATACAGTTGAGTATATATGGTGACTATTATTTTCTATTGTGTGCGTTGATGATATTTGTTTGTGTAGACATTTGAAATGTTTGCTTCTCGGCGGTTGTGCATGTTATATGTACAAACAATTTATATATCGAAAAATAACAGCCAAGGTTCTGATAATTCCACTGTGATTCACTGAACTTTCCTTCGAAATGTCACTAGATATTCCATATATTTTCACAGTCCACTTACAAGGGATTAAGATTAAAAGCGCGGGAAACAGCTGCAAAGCATTGTTAAATGATTGTTTTGTAACAATGATATGGTGTTTTACGGACAATGAATTTGAAATTGTCCATCATGAGGAAAAATTAGCCCAAAGTTTAAGTCAATTATGACGGAGAAATAGTTTTTTAATAAAAAATGGCGGCGCGGAAAGTATAGTCAGTATAATATTACAGAACATTTAAAAATTTCTTAAATTAGGGTTCCAAATCCTAAACGAAAGCGGAAACAGTACTGATAGAAGAGTTGCAAGTCTGCTTAATGCGAGGTCCCGAGTCCTCAATTAAATAAAAGTACTGATAGAAGAGTTGCAAGTTTGCTCAAATCAAGGTTGTGAGCCCGAGGCCTCAACAAAAAGGGGAAACAGTACTTAGAAGAGTTGAGTTTGTTCAAAGCAAATTTTCGAGTCCCTCTCAACTAAATTTAAGTTTCAACTAGAGAACATCAGAAGTAGTTGGGAGTCAAAAACATGAGTCAGATTATTTCAAACCAGAAACCGGATTCAAAGTTGAAATATTTCCGGAGCTCGGAGTCCAATCCGTCAAAATCATCTTTTTTTAAAACAAGGAATCAGAATTGTTCAATTGTATTTTGGATAAAAACGACATAAAAATAAGTGAAAATATAAAAAATAAATCATTGATAACACTATCTTTGGAACTGATAATTCACTGATCAAAAACCAAGTTTTTTCACTTGTCCAAATTTGAGTAAAAGTAATGAATTGGGTAAAAAAATACGAAAAAACAAAACAGTTATAACTATCTTTGGAACTGGTACATTGATAAGACTACTGATAGAAAGCAGTTGTTTTCAAATTGTCCGAATTTGGGTAAAAAGTAATAAATTTGGTGAAAAATATAAAAATGAACAATAAACACTTTTTTCGGAATTGATAAATTGATAATACTAATGATGAGTAACTGATAAAAAATTAAATATTTTTATTGAAATATGAAAAAACGAAGTGCCACGAGATAAATTTGATAGAACCATTGATAAAAATTGAAAAAATAAATATACGAAAAGAGGAAATGCCACGGGATAAAATCGGCAAAAACAGACATAATAAAATAAGTATATTCCAATAAAAGTTACAATCAGGAAAACCGCCTTTCTGCGGGTCCTCCCATTTAAAAAAAAAGTCAGAGAATGAATAAAATAGAACCGAGCGCCACGTTTGAAATAGCAAAACAGGACACATTTAAATTATATAGTTTGACATCTAGCTGACAGGTTAGCTTAGAGCTGATCTAGGGACCACGAATATATTCCTATTTTCATTTTATGCTGTGTTAGACCCCATCTAGGTGTCGCTGCTCGATAACCAGTACTGGTTTTCAGCGTCTCCATCCACCCTGTAAATACTTTCATTATTTTATTCCAATCGTATATGTAGGTTAATTATTACTTATCGATCTTAAGATCGGTAAGTATATTGATATGTATTTGTCTGTATGTATGTATGTCTGTGTGTGTGTCTGTTAGATGAACGCGATATCTCGCGAACGCGTGGTTGAATCTGCTCCAAATTTTGCAAGTACAGAAGCCCATGGATTTTGGGTTAATTATGTCGTATAATTAGCGAGTTATTAACTAATTACCGATCTAAGATCGATAAGTCTTCGGTCTCCGACCGATATTCTCGTTTTCCGTATTGGTGGAAAAATAAATTACTGATACTGATACTGAATATACTCTCATTCGTTATAGAATTTTAGCATTACCGACTACTATCTAAAATATGTTGACTCATTTGTCTAATTATATAAGTGTGATGCATTTAGGTTTGTCATTTAAAAATTGCATACAGAATCCAAACAGTGAAGGTTAAGGCTGTCCATAGAATATAAGGCTAACCAGGGTTTTTTTAAATGGCCCCTCGGTGGCCATAGCTCGTCATTTCTATGGGAGCTCAGGTCAAAGGCATTCAACGGAAATATCCGCGTTGACTACAATAATTTGAAGGAATGTGAGTATGGTTTATTTAATTCTTTAACTGTAAGGATCAATTCTTTAACTTTCGTTTTTTTTTGTTTGTTTTTTATCAAGCGTGGTATTATTTCTAATAAATAGAAAATTGTCCATGGATCGTTGAGAGTTTTTGGAAAGGGCCCAAAGTTCATGACAGTTTTCAGAGCCCATGGACTAAATAAACGAAAAACGAAGTATTAATTTGTTTGCAAAAGTCGCGATGCATCAAACAAAACAGTAGGGTAATAATAATAATAAAATATGGATAAGATTTAAGAAAAATCTCGCCATTGTTCATCATTTCAGTCGATATTTCAAAGAGCAATAGTTTGATCCTTATGATCTGATTGGACGACGGGTCTGTATAAATGCGCCAGGGCGTCGTCCAGCGTCTGTCGTTTATAGTCTTTCCACATGAACGATTGACGAAGGTTTTGTAGGATTTCGTGTTGCTTTGGAAATGGTGGGAACTGAAAGAAATTAAATAATATTATAAATAAGCAGTGTAGTATATCTTTTAAACTGGGTTACAAATTGAGAGCAGTGGTGAGATTCAGAGAGGTTGCGCATTCCGTTCTTGTTTTTTTACTCTATTTAAGACCAGGAGTGTTCAACATTTTTGTCGACGGGCCTTTCTCATTTCCGAAAAGTGTTCTTCCTGAACGTCAAGACTTCAATAGAAGTACACATAGCAAGTTATTGTTAAGCTAGGCTTTTACTTTTTATTCTGGGGCAGGGACCAAAGGTCAGCGTTTATTATATAGGAACACATGGGAGTGGGCATTGCTGACCCGAGTGTGAGAATGGGTCGATTTTCGTGGAAACGTTTAGTCTACTAAGCTATAGCCCAGTGTTCTTTAACCTTTTTCTATCGTGGTATACCTTTTACAATTTTTCAAGGGCTTTGTATACCTCACAAATACCAATGTTTAATTAAGGCTCAAAAAGACATTGGATTTCAAGCACATATTGTACTGCAACATCATCATGCAATCTAATAGGCTAGTGTCCGCAAGTTATAAATTTGACTGACGGCCTTATCGTTAACGGGAATAATGTTCAACGTAAATCAAACGAAGTACACGGCAGCCGAAATCACCAACCCAGTCACGTGACCGCATTATCTATATAATTTGTGATGCAACAATGTACTCACGTCGGTTCTTTGCGTAATGTCATTTTATATTTCATTTGCGCCGCATTTGCATTGTTGTCTCCGCTTGAATATCTTATAATTTATTATATCATAATTTAGAATCCCCAACTTAGGCTGTACCCTTCGTATACCCTTTATCAGTTGTATACCCAAATTATGGCCCGGTATACACTTGGGTATACCGTATACCCGGTTGAAGAGCACTGTTATAGCCCATAGACTCATGCTTCTCGATTGATTTCCGTCGATTTCGGCTCTCTGTCATCTCTTGCGGAACCAAACCAACCATCCGGGAAAATATTTCAGTTTAATCAAAATTGTAGCTCCGTGCATACCAGTAGCCTTTATACAAAGCCATGTTCGCAGTCACGCGTAAGAAGAAAAACTATTTCTAATATTCCAGCCTGACTTTTGATCGCCTATGTTGAGATTTTTACCCGATCGAAAACAGCCGTAACCGTTAGTGTTCACTTGCTCTTTCACCGCGACACATATTAGTTCCATTTATTGGCACGTAGTTGACATACTGATCGTTTCGTTAATCTGTAGTTGTTGTTCTTGAAATTTTTCTTCCTATCGTTTTGAAAAAAATTGCTTTTCTCTTTAATTACTTGCCCAATTGCTTTGAAATTGCCAGTGGTTGAAGATTGTATTTTTTGCTAGAAGGCTATTACCATCATTTATCTCAAATATTTCTGTGAGCTCTATGGAATTCGTTTTTTGTGTTCTATGACGTCATCAAATTTTGCGCCCATTGTGGCAGTCCGCGAATGAATATCATTGGATCTCGTGCTCAGCGAACGTCGGCGGATCTTGTGCTTGGTGAAAATGGGAAGTTTTATATGGGGAGCGGTAGACTGCAGTACCTGATCTGATAATACGGAGGTGTCTTGGTATTTCAATTCATGTTGAAACTGAATCACGGATAATGGATAATCGTCACAGGAACTGAAAAAGCTATGTCCCTATACCCCTTACCGGTACCCTGGTGGAGGTACTGATAAGTTCCCTCATATGATTTTTGCGGAATTGATGATAAAATATTTCGTTTTGGCCTCCGTGTCCACATATTTGAACATAGTTCTGTTGCCGGTACGTGAACTCATTTTATTTAAAGTTTCCGATCCACAGGGCAGAAAAGTTGAAAATCCTGTTTCATATTTATCAAACTTTATTTTGTGGGAATATTGGACACGAAATGCCCCTATAAATTGTTTTGTTATTATGTTGTTGGTATTTTTCTCCTTGTTGCTATGAAAAAAAAATCGCTACTCTAATTCATTAAAGGACCAATTGCTTTGAAATTTTCAGTGGTTGAAGATTGTATTTTTTGCTTGAATTCTATCACTTTTATATATTCCAAAATATTTTATTTTTTATGAGAACACGGCTTTTTATCCGCCAAGCGAGCTGACCTGATACCGCTGGGTACGGTACGAAATGTACTTACTTTGTTTTGATTTCGTGCCCATATAGTTGAGCATCGCTCTTCATTAATTATATAGCTATAACAACAATATATCAGAAAATGTAACAAATCCGAAATATATCGTATTTGCAAAAACAAAATAGGTATATTAGACGCTGCTTGTACAGAATTTGAGTTGCACAATAGGTCGGCCACCTACCTTCATATTTATCAAACTATAGACCGTCTCATCAGCAAATTTCTGGAAGAATTTCTTGTTTATCTGAATGACCTCTGACCCGCAACTTATGAGGCTGACACTTGACCCTCGTTGATCTTTAGGAAGTACAGCCAGGAAGCCCTGAATAAATGAGATTCTTTATTATAAATTTTTGTATTTTTTCGAATTTGCTGAAATAAAGATGACCTGTATTCACTCCGTAGTGAAAGCTACTAAAAGAATAATGTAGCTGATTACGCGCCCTCACTCACTCGGGAGTGAAAAAGACCCATCTCTGAGCAAAATTACATGCACTCACTCAGGAGCAAAAAATACTCGTCTCTGTGCAATAACACGGGCACTGACTCGAAAGTAAGGAAGTCTCATCTCTGAGCAAAGTTATACGCACTCACTCAGAAGCACAAGATACTCGTCTCTGAGCAAAGACAAGGGCACTCACTCGGAAGTAAGAGAGACTTATCTCTGAGCAAAATTACGCACACTCACTCAGAAGGAAAGGAGACTCATTTTTCAGCAAAGTTACGCGCACTTTATCAGAGGTAGAGAAGACTCATCTCTGAGCAAAGTTACAGACTACCACTCAAATACTAAAATCTACGAGCACTCATTCAGTAGTAAATGAAACTCATTTCAGAACAAAGTTACGATCATTGAAATGCCAAAGTCTATCGAACGCTTGGCACGACAGAAAATATTCAAAAAAATTCCCAACATATACTTACAAAGCTATCCCCGACTCCGAGCACCTCCAAGGCCACGTATACCGGTCTGTTAACCTTAGGTCCGTACAATGAGACAAGAAATGGGCTTCGTTTCATTGGGGTCTGAGAACGTTGGCGCATCGCCTCCTGAATGCAAGAATGATACTCGTTAAAGCTGAATAATTGGCACAGAGTATGGAGAATTATTATTTATCGATCTCGCTCGGTGGGTATGTTGATAGGTATTTGTTTGTCTGTTAGACACTCGCGATATCCCACGAAAGCGAGGTTAAATCTGCTTCAAATTTTGCATGTGCATTCACCATATCTATCATACCCGAAGCCTATTAATTTTGAATGAAATATGTCGTATAATTAGAGTGTAACTACTTAATTAGTGATGGGACACGCGGTGTCGCTATTGAGTCAGAGTGGAGGAATCGAAACCGCAGATCGATAAGTTGGCGGTCTCCGATCGCTATCCAGTTTTTCACGGGTTGTCAAGTTAATTCACAAATCCGTACTTATTAGACTACAGGTTCAAAATTATGACTCCAGCACCTACCGCCTATGCGATAATAAAACACAGACTTCGGTCAGCGTAGGGAAGCGAATTTCTGTTCAAAATAAAGTTTTGACCGGATTTCGATTCCGGACTTAAAAAATTTGACTCCGGCTCCGTAAGGTTCAAAATACAGTTTCGATTCGAATTACCAACTCTCTACTTTAACGATTAACAAGGCAAAACGGCTGGCAACTCCTGTGGAGGAAGTATATTTTATGTCAGGTTGGTGTCTGGAGTCTGGTTTTTGAACGGAATTTAGGCGTAAATTCTAACTCGATATATTCAGTGCCGGTCTTAGGCCATTGCGACCAATGTGGGTGCTGTGCGCCCTACTCTTTCACATCGCTAATTCTAGGTGTAAATTATTAATTTTAACCCGTTAGAAGTTACAATTACGTACCGTTTTGGTAATATAGTGGATAACTTGTCACACGCAAGACTCGTAAAATAGGTTTATCAAGATTTCGTGCTTAGTTAAAAGGTGATAAAATGTAAAAATGAATTTATTTTCTATTACAATCCGTTCGCATAGACAATAGATAGGACTGATTAGGCGTTAAATATATCTGAATTACCTGTATAGCTGCGGTCGCTGCTTCATCGTAGTAGCCATGAGTTTGTGGGCGTGACAGGGGTGTGGTGAAGAATGTCGAGGAAGGTGGGACAGCGCTGATTCGATCCTCGCTTGGTTCCGAGACTGGAAAGGAAAAATTGTATGAGAAAATAGCGGTAACTAGTTTACTTTATAATTTCCGGGGTAGTGTACTACGAGGCAAGCGAAAGGGTCTTCACTAGGTATCATTTGGCATGACTACATAAATTGGCTGTGATTTGTTCTATTCTTTAACTGTTATGCATTTATTCTTTTGCTCCGCTTATTGGTATTCAAGTACTAAACATAGAGCATAGTATAACTGAGAAAAAGGAAAAAAAAAATTAGGAATTTATAAATAGAAGAGCACCATGTCACAAAACCTAAAAACTGTTGCATCGCGAACTTTGATCGTGAAAAAACCGCAGGCCTCATGGCCAAAGCTTCGGTTCTAGCTGTTTGTCTGGAAATACGCTCGAGACATCAATTAAAAGTTTAAATAGACTTAGTCATGATATAAGAATTCTTTCCACATACCGTCAATATCGTTTTCAAGATTCTTGGTTTCAATTTCTTTCAATAATTTCTGACGAGCGTGTCTGGCGAGAAGTTTCTTTATCCTAGAAAAAGTAAGAATGGTTGGCGCACTTTGCTAAGCGTCAGGAATACGTTTGTTATTGCAAATTTGATAACCCTGTGTTCTTGTATATGGAAAACTTATAATTTATTCTTATACCCCAAAAAATTTTCTTGTGGATAGATGCCAATTTACCTTGTGGGTAATATTTTTACGCTACCAATTTTCTTTCGTTGCATCATCTCCTCCATGTATTAGACGTAGTTTTGTAGTAACTCAGTAAACTTAAGACATCTACATGCGCAAAACTAAATTGTGATTCCCCCGCGAGTCATTATAGGGGTTTGCATAGAAAAAATTAGCGCTTCGGAACCTGAACCCCAACCTGTTACAATACTATGTTCAGCTTGTGCGCCATCTTGGTGCACATACTTCGGGTATAACGAAAAAATATTAAATTGGAGATTAATTGAAAACGTACTGATATACCCCAAAAAATACACCTACCTTGCCGGGTCTTCTTCCGGTTCTCCGGGTTTCAAACATTTGACTACTTTACACTGTCCAGATTTGATAATGTAAACCCAGTCACATCGGCCACTGTCCTCGACTATCAGAGTTCCTGTGAAATCATAGTGATTACGCGTTATTGGCTGCTTGTGTAGACTATTGGGTGCTATGGAGGTAACGAATTTTGTTTGCCTACTTTACATCAAGTTGTGTAAAAGGACTGAAACCTATGGACAGGGGGTATATTCACTTGGCTAACATAGACAGTCCCCGAACTCGTAATAGAACTAAAATAAGGAAAATAAGTATAAAATTATGGCCTAATCCTACCCTGGTACACACATTACGGGAGTACCTACCCCTGTTAAAAGCGTGGATATAAAACGTCTAATAAAAAGATTTAGGGTGACAATGGGTTCGGAACTCTTTTCCCAGGCCAGGGAAGGCTCTCCACAACTCTCAAGGTCCCTGTGAAATATGAGAGCAATGCACAAATTGACGGCCACAAATGACTGAAATGGCTCCGCAACGTCAGCAAAATTGCAGCCGAATTGTACAGAATTTTATATGCAGGTGTGCCGAATGTCATATGAAGGTGTTCAAGATGTCAAAAGGTGTGTGCATGAATTATGAAAATAAGAATTGAGGAGGAATAGATGACCAGGTCATGTCGACCGAGTCATACTGCGTTGCATACTTTTGGCTTGCACAAAGCCTTGTTCAGTGCAAAGGTGTGAATCGCCGAAGCCTCAGTATGACCTATTAAATGGAAAGCTCGAATCTTTACGATTCGGCATTTATTCCACCTTAGCCAATTTATTCTATCCTCGGATGAGGTGAGAATCACGGAATTTTAACACGATAGCCTTAATTACCCTGCGAATCAGTCAGATCCAACGCTCTTACCGGGTTTATAGTTTTGCATAGTCCATGATCCCGGGTTCTCGATCAGCTTCTGCAACGGCCAGTGATGGAAGACAGGGTTCTTTCTACAGATTGACAAACTGGAAATATCCTTCGAACCTTTGGCGAAGCAGATGTCTTTGTAGTCCTTAAAAAAAAATGGTTTGAAAGGACAGTAATTTTGCGAAAAGTCTGAGTTGTTGTGCTGCTGAGAGTACGGATATACGCTTTGTTTCAAAAGCAAAGGAGGCTCATCTCTTACCAAATTCATACACATTCGCCCAGAATTAAAATCGACTCTCTGACCTGAGATATACACATTCACCCAAGGATAATAAAGACTTATCACTCAGATGAAGCAACGGAAAGCCACTAAAAAACAAGAGCCAACTGGGCTCATACAGACATATGGTGAGGCATTATGCGACTAACCCAGAAACAAAAGAGACTCATGTCTGAGCTGAAGCTACTGAAAACCGTACTGCAGTTTCAAGAGATATCGAAACTATATCGAAATTAGCGGTGCATTACGCGCCATTAAATAACAGAACGAGCGCTTCGTTCTTACATCTCCGACAAACGAAAAATAACTCAAGTGCTGTTGTGAGTTGGATGCTCAGTTTATTGGGGTAACTTTGGTTATGACCATTCACTGGCCATACATTTATACTGGGTTTAACACTGATATGGGCAAATTACGGCCCGTTGCCACAACAAAATTTCGATGTTTCAGCTAAAAAATAGCTCAAGGAATTTGTTGAGATTGCGACTAGATTTAGTTTTTTCACAAGGCTTATTGTTTTTCACATTTGCTTTTGTAACACTATAAATATTACTCATAAAATGTAACTTTTTACGTCACAATTTCATGGCCCTCCAGTCTAGATGGGCGAAATTTTTAGCTAGTGGTTCCATAACCTTGCCCAGTCCTGGTTTAACAGATATATCTGCTTGATACGTCTCACTTACATCTCCATAAACGACAAATAACTCTGCCGTATCCTGGCTCATCACAGTGGCCGCACGTTTGCTTTTAGAGATGATTTCCTCTTCTCCAAATTTATCGCCACGCTTGAGTAATGTTGTGACCATGTGACCAGTTTCTTCTTCACCATTGGCTACAACTGAAAAAATAGGGCGGGGTTTAAGTCGTATTTAGGCCCCACGCACAAATAACGCCGCAACCATGTGACCTGGATTTATTGTATCATTGGCTACAACTAAAAAAGGCGGGGCTTAATTCGCCACGCTTGGGTAGCGGCTTGACCATGTGACGTGGTTCTATCTCACTATTGGCCACTATTCATTATCAGCGTTTAAGGCCTTGTCCATAGTAAAATACAGACTTAGCAGCTTCCAACAAATCAGTGGGAGTTTACCGGAAACCTTGTTCGGGGGAAATATATAAGACCTGTTTACAAGCAAAAACCAATATATATTTATTGTACTTTCCACAACATTAGAAATTTACTCACGTCTTCCGGAAATGACGTAATAAACACTTTGTCCCACGTGACCGGATCTTAACAAAACTCGATTCGGTTCGACAGTTTGTAGCCAAGCACATTCGCATAATCGACGTTGTATGCTCAGTGGGAAACGAGCGAAAATCTCCATTTTTTGCATTGTTCTCATGATCTGTGATGTAATAATTATGTTGTAGTTGAAAATTACATTGGCGGGAAGGAGGTTCTGACAGGCCGTAACCTGGGGTCGGAGTGTTGGAATGTTTCAGATCTATGGTTTTCAAATTTTATTTTTTCGTGGTAAATTTTTCCTGCAACAAAATTTTGCGGTCAATTGGGTTTTTCATATAAGCGCAGAACTACAGAAAAAAATCTTTCTGCAAAAAACAGACAATTTCGCTTTATAAATTAGAATGAAAATTGCCACCCTGTGGCAAAAAAGCAACTTCAATTATTGCTACTGCCATCTAATTTAACTAAATTCATCCAACATAATATATTTTTACTTTTATTTATCCTCAAAAAAATTGTCTACACCCCCTCTACCCTTGTGGGATGTGGCCCATCGTTTGAGAACCACTGCTACAAATTAATATGAAGTTGTGGATTTACGGAGATTTGAATCCCAATATTTTGTGAAGTAATTTCTCAGTTTTGCAAAGTAGATTTTGACGATAATCATAAGCCGTTGTGGAAATGGAGCAAATTTAAGGATTTAAATAAGCTGAAATATCATTCTATATATTTTCTCAGCTTGTCGAGCGTTAGGCTTATGCATCATTCGGTGTTTAATCAGGTTTCATTAGCTACTCCAGCAGCTTTTAATAGCTCATTTGAAAATATTTTTGTGTCTCAGCAGTGGTCCATGGCCCACTGGTTCAGAACCGGTATATTTGGTTGATACCGGAGCCGGAGTTCCATTACGAAACTTGGGATGCAGAATAGGAGTCGAAAATTTGAATTTTTTTTATTTTTATTGATTGAGTATTTATAAATTCCCGAGAGTCAAAGTCGAAATTTTGAATGACTTGAATTAAGAGTGCGAATTTCAGATTTTCAATAAATAATCAAAGTTAGGATTTCCGACAGAAAGTCCAGAACATTGAAATTGAGTATTTACAAAAAATAACTGTTTTTGCTATCAGTGAATATTTTTCTCGAAGCTGTCGCTAGAGGTGGGGATAAAATATTTTTGACAGCCTACACTTTACTTTATTTTGTGTTATTTATAGCAGTTGAAAAATTGAAATCTTGCAGCTGAGGTAGTCCTTATTCTTTTTAGGGGTAGGCTCTTCATCGATCGGATTGTACAAAAAGTCACTGGTATTTAAGGAAGGTTCCCGGTTCAATATTGCCTACTGACCCTAGGTGCGGATTTTCACCTTTAAACTAAAAATAGAAAGAGTGCTGATGGCTTTCACTGACACACCGAGGGTGTATACACATTTCAGTTATGCAGGCTTTTCCAAACCAAGGAATCGGCCCCTCAACTTTCAAGAAACTAACTACTAAACGGGACTTGAACGCTTCAAAGTCGCAATGTCGGGAAAACAATCGGACTGGAGAGGAATACTCACATTCAGAACCTCTTCTGGGGTTCGATCTCCCGGTCTTTTGCGTAGAAGATCTTTAATCTTCACTGGCATGACGTCGACGTCTTTTGATTGGCGGCGAAATTTACTAAGGTCAAAGGTAAGTTCCGGGTCGTCAGTTGTAAGAGCGGCTGTGAAGTATAAGATAATTAAGTAAGTGTGAATAAGCGGAGTTGCGACAATCGACTCAGAGAAGCAACTTCGGATTGATAAAAATTTGACGCCGATTTCGGTTGTAAAAAATGCAGACTTTATCTTTCCGAGAAAATCGTACGGCGTATGCAAGCCTGCTTTCACGGGCTGTTAAAACTGCTTGGTAAACGTACTGTTTCTTAAATTTCAATATAAAATTTTATCGTTTTATCACCGCTAAACGTTCTGAAATTCCGACTTGAGAGAATTCAAAATATTACGAATCCTACTCCCGACTCTGGTTTTGCAGGTCGGACCCCCCCCCCCCATTTATTTTTTTTTAAATGCAAGATCGTGCAAAATTCCAATTGCACAGCCTTTGGATCGGAATCTCACGACAACTCTGTTTCTGATCAAAGCAGCACGAGAAGGTGATTGGAATTCAATTATCGAATAAAAAGTGAAAATCAGTGGTTTTGGTAATAAGCATGAGGAGAAGGAATGAACGAGCCTCCAGGTCCTTTTGTTTCATCAACGGTTCATTGTTGGCGCATCGTGCTAAGTGTTAGAACTACAAAACAATTATAGCTGCAACTATGACTCCTCAATCCAAGTTGAGAAACTAGTAGCCTCTTATTTTAAATAACATATTGCTCTACGGGTAAAAATTGACAGTTTCGGGAATAAGCATGAGAGACAGAAATGAATGAACCTTCTCATGCTTTTTGTCATATCGGCGATCCAAAACATCAGATCGAAAATTGAATGAATCTCCAGATACTTATTATATAAGGCGTATTCACGCCTTTCCATTCGCTCTAAACAAGGCAATGTACAAGCAGCTATTGATATCCCACGATATATAAGGAGCTAATATTACGCTTACGATTTGACATTGCCTGTACTATTTTTTTACATCTTGGGTGAGATATAAATCTGCAAAACCAACACCGTTAAGTGTAACGATTTGAACGCTAAACCAGGGCTACTCAACTATTTCTAGCAAGGATTCGCATACAAAGCTTCAAAATTATTTGGGTCCGGTCTTTCCAGAAATTATATTTCGGCATCCTTAAACGTGTACTTCCTCGGTCCGCTAAGGAATATTAGCAAATAAAGATAGTTTATTATGGTGTTATATTTCTTTTCATATATATTCAGAACTGTAAAAGTCATTTTGTGAAAGGAAATTTAAAAGGTGGGGCTAATGATCCAAAATAAAGATTTAGGTGCGGTCGGAATCCAATACTCGAAAGGTCCCGATTTGACCGCGGTCCGCAGTTGAGAAGCCCTGCGCTAGACGATAGGTTCTAAAAGCCCCATACAACAGGTCTCCACGAGAGAAACCTAGGGGCTTTGCGAGCTATTCGTTTCAAAATATTAAATATTTTTCAAATACAAAGCAGCAAATACATCCGAGTCATTAATTGAGGTAATTTTAACTTACTGAAAAAAAAAATAATGAATAAGTAACAACGATATTTTTGTTTTTATTTTATGAACTGATTATGATGCTCACTAAATAATAGTCGACAACTTCACAGGCTTAATAACATCAAAAGTTTGAGAATCCCTGACTTAAGATAAACAGAATTAAACAAAACAGACCAAAAAAGCAATGGTGAGGCAAAACCAGGACAACAACATAGTGACTGATTTTCTGATCTTATTATGGACGGTGAACACACTATGCTAACTTATCAAAATATCAGATCAAAAATTGAGTCACAGTACATTAAAAAACGATAGTAACCTGCGGTTGGGACAACAATCATCCATACCTTTTTTCTTTTCTTTATTCTGATCCTTACTGACGTCACTTTCACGTAACAATGCTTCTTTTAGAGCGACCCAATTGTTCTGCGCAACGGAGAACGTCATATTCCTGGGACAAAATATACGATTTGCATTAGATATGGGGTCTTGTAACTCATCGGACAGGGCAAAAATTGTCTCAAACTTTTCCCCTTTTCAGCAGACTTGCCCACTTTGCTACACTTGCGCCACTGTTCTGAATTAAAGTAGATATATATTGGGAAAATGATTAGAGTAAGCATATAAAGTGAAAAGGTGTGCCACGGCTGAGGTGATAGAGTATGGCATGATCTTACTGAGGCGAAAGGAGGCCGGTGTCGTATTTTCAAAGTCCTCGGAGTTAAATGTTAACACACAAGTTCCTACAGAAGTCTAAAGCATTAAAGTTCGGAACTGGAGTAGGGTCAATTTTTTACAAAACGAAGTCGGATTCGATCGTAAACTTCCCCGAAGTCCTGTTCTAGAAAGGTGTCTACTTTCTCCGCCCCTACCACACCTGCATCATCTCTGTAGGTAAGTAGCCAGACCCCGAGCCGCGCTTTAAAACGAAATGTAAGAAACTTACTTCTTGCAAGCTAGACATACTGAAGATAGGATTCGGATCACTCTTGCTGCCCGTCTGAATCGAAGTAGCGGCTGAAAATATGATTTATGGAAGTTATTACGGTATCTCACTATGCAGATTTGTGTGTAGTAATGTTCTTTACTAATATTGTATTGTAGTAATAAGTATTTATGTGCAAAGTATAATTTATCCACACTGTAGAAATTCACAGTGCGAGTTTCACTAGCTTAGGACTAAGCTAACGAAAAATGAATTCCATAGTGCGTACAGCAATTTTTGAAATAAATAAAAGTAATAACAAAATAACAACCTCGATCCATAGGTACACTTCGTGTCCGAAAAGATAGGAAACGACTGCCTTAATGCAGGGATAGTATAGCAATCGAAAAGGTTTATTGAGTCGTTATAACACAAGTACAAACCGGTATAAATGTGACTTCGACTTTTCCTTCGCCTTCGATTGCAGGATGGTAATTTCGTGCAAACATCGATACTCTCCGCATGGACATTGCAGTTGCCTGGAACTTGCCTCGCATTCCAGGCTGCAAGTTTGGGATTGATCGTCTCTGTCCATCTCCTGTGTGAATGAATAATTATTAAAAGGGAACACTGAAATTTATCGTATGTAATTTTTATACAAATTCCTACTTTTACTGCTCTTGTGTGAGGGAATAATTATTAGAAGAGAACACTGAAATTTATCGCGTGTAGTTTTTATACAAATGCTGATTCCACTGCTCCTGTGTGAGGGAATAATTATTAGAAGGGAACACTGCAATTTATTTCATGTAGGATTTATACAAATGTTGATTTCACTTTTCCTGTGTGAGAGAATACCTATTAGAAGGGAACACTGCAATTTATTGCATGTAGGATTTATACAAATGTTGATTTCACTTTTCCTGTGTGAGAGAATAATTATCAAAAGGGAACACTGAAATTTATCGCATGTCGCATTTATATAAATGCTGGTTACCTGCTCTTGCGAGGAGGAATAATTATTATCAATTTTTGCGCGAAGTCATTATATAGTTCACTGCATACTCAAGTCTGCGGCCCATGAGGAAAAATTGTGCCGGCCCGTGAGAAGGGCCAATTTTGAATGGTGTCTGGGGGGCGAAACGAGTTTTGTATTCAGTTTAATCTGGTACGTACGAGTAATTTTGATCCACTTGCATTACAAAGCCAATACCCGAGTCCAATTTATCATCTATGCCTATGACGTTACAATGCCGAAACAGGTAACTTGTGCAAAGCGAACAACGCATGTCATAAGACCAATAACCCAAATTTTTGTGCATGCAAATTTTTAGAAAGCGTATGTTAAATAATACGACAAATAAATATTTGTATCTGCCCTCTTGTATTAAAGGTTGCATACTCCTGATAAATGATGGCTCGTGTCTAGTAAAAGACTAGACCTTGCTCATACATCCACTTTCGTAGTATACAAGAATTTGGTAAATTTTCGATTTCTGTTAAAAGCACTATTGATTCGTCATAATACGATGTAAAAATACTTTTGTGTGATCACAAAGGTGTGTTGGGATTTTTCTTTTGTGTTCAAATAATAGAAACCCGCCACGATTGTTAACAACATTTTGTCAACGATTGTTCATCACAATGTACCAACAGTGTATTGAATTGTGTCATAACATAGGACGTAGAAAAATTGACGACCTCAGCTGGCATATCGGTTTGGATAAATTCTAACGGAGATCAAATGAACAACAAGAAATACCGCGACTGGTATTTCATACACGCATGACGATGAAAGTGGACAACATTTTTTTGACCGACCTTCGATTCCCGATAAGGAAAAAAGAAGCTTCGAATTTAAATGTTGATAAAAAAAAACTTTGGGAGAATATGAAAAGCAGTTTTATCCCGACAATGATACAACAACATTAGCAAAACGATCCAGCACCAAACTATATTTCTTGACCTGAACGAACCCTGTTTGCGGATTTTGAATTGTATGGCGCCGCAGTTTTCAAGATTCATAACATAACTACCCTCGATTTGATTGCAATGCTTTTTATTGTGATTTTATAAAAATAACCCTGGTTTCCGTGATTTTGATATAAAAAGCCCTCGTTTTTGAGATTTATACCACAACTACCCTCGATTTCATAAATTTAATCGCAATGGCGCTTCTTTGCGTGATTTTTTACAAAATAACCCTTGTTTCGGTGAATTTAAAATTCAAACCCTCATATCGGTAATTTGATCTGAAAAAGCTTCTTACAAAGTTTTATTTTGTCTGAATGACCCCGTTTCCGGGACTGGTTTATATTGGAGAATTCCAAAGAGATTTATTGCTTAACCGCAAAGCAATAACAACGGTTAGAGATGATCAATGAAAAATAGTGGAAGACAAACAAAGAATCGGTAAACCGATGGTATTGAAAATTTTGTCAACCGAGTATTATAGTGAAAGACAAACAAAGAATCGGTAAACCGATGGTATTGAAAATCCTGTCAACCGAATATTCAATTCACGCGTTTAAAGAAACTTATTTTAATGAAGATCCTTCTGCATTGAATATAGTCCTAGTTGATTCTGAATTGGGTGTTGTGAATACGATTACCCGATCGTTGAGCAACACTCGGTTAACCGTTTGTAGGGGTAAATTTAACAAAAACGATTTCTGTTTAAACCCTACATTTGATTTAAAACGCAAATTATCAGGAAACACCGGTAAACCAACTATCTACTTTAGCCGTGCAATTTCGCGTTCCTTGTATTTTGATACGACGCTTTTTCACACATTTTGTGCAACTTACCTTCAGGGTCGTGATGATTTTGACTTCAATTCGGAAATGGTTTGTGAGTTTCTGTCGATAGAATTGACTTTTTTATCACCATAGAAAGTCTGACTTCAGGTTTTTCATGTTTGTTTACCTTTTTTTACGTTTTTGCAGGGTTTTGGCAGGTTTTCCACGTTTTTTGCTAGGTTTCTGGTGGTTTTTCACGGTTTTTGCTAGGTTTCTGGTGGTTTTTCACGATTACACTTACCCGACACCGAGGAATCGAATTTCGAATCGGGAAAGTTTGGAAAAACAACTTCATAACCTGACAAAAGTGTTGTACACATTAAAAAAAAAAAAAACTCAAGAAAGCCGCCGTTTTCAATATCGATTTTTTGAACAAGGCTCTGGTAACTGTTTGAGACGTCATTGATACACAACGAGACACTAAATTTGTAAAAGTCGCAATCTTTTTTCAGCTCGGAATTGCCAACTCAATTTATAACATCCTGAGCGACATTGTGGCATGAATAAATTTAAATAGCAAATCCGTCCTCTTCGAAACCTCCACACGATATATCCGTTTTAGATGTCGATTACGTTCAACATTTTAGCCCTATATAAACACACTCGGACCCGGTAAAACCACTTAACAATTCACGATAATCCGTCTCAAGGAAACAATGTCTTTGATCGCAAATTCATCAAAGGAATTTTTTCATTTCAACTCTGAAAAATCCAGTTAAACCGGCTTAAGAGGCTCCAGTTGTTTTTACTTGTGTTACAATCTCTCAGAACAAGGCTCAAGATCAGATGGTACTGATATGAAAGGAGCCACTATGTCCGCACCTTTAGTCTAAACGAGTCTCTGGACAGGCTTCTACTAGAATGGTGAGCAAGGTTTTTAAAGAAAGGGGCCAAAAATTTTCCCACTCATTCTGGCGGGCCATGTAAGTGTGACGGAAAAAGTTACATTCCATGAACAATATTTACAGTGTTACAAAGCAAAGGTGGAAAACAATGAACCTCGTACCAAAACTAAATTTAACGGCAATCTCAATAAATTCCTTGAGCTATTTTAGCTGAAACAACAAAATTTGATTTCAGTTTCATTGTGGCAGCATCAGGCGGTCCCGCGGGCCGTACTTTGCCCATGTTTGTACTAGAACGTAGGAAGCTTCACACGGCTTTAGACAAGCCACTGGTATTTACAGAACTGCTATGTGTTTTTGACATCATGTGATGCAGCCACTAGTTATCACATATGCCCAGAACAGGGCTATCGATAAGCATCCGCTGATACGTACGTAGCTGCAATGTATTTTGAGTAAGGTGGCCATTTATAAAACCCATATAGTTTGGAGCCAGGACTATACAAATCCAAATATCCAAACACGGCCCTGGTTAAGGAGTCACTCGTACTTAAAGATCCTCGGATATGCTTTATAATAGATACATAAACCAGAGGTGTACCCAGTGGTGTTCGTGTGGGTCCCACCCTTTTTTGAAATGTAAAGTGAAAGCATTCTTTGTTATGCCAATATAACAATTTTTCGTAGCTCGAAATGGTTTTTAGACCCTCATGACGAGGTCACGCTATCTTTACGATCTAATTTGGCAACTAGAAATCCGAGAACCACCGCCCCCAATGTCCCCTTCTTTGAAAGGCTACGCCCCTGACATAAACCAAGTGAGGTGGCAGTTGTAACGCTGCATGACACAATATATATTTAAAAGGCAGTTGCTTCATTTTTACGACTAATTTTACGCCTATCGGTATGAATAAGACTCGCAAGGCACTGCGAGGTAAGGATCTGCAATATTTTGAAAAGACGTTTTTTTCTGTTTAGGCATGGTGGGCATGGGATATAAACCTGAGATTTGTAACCTGCGATGCCGCAGTAAGACTAGAATAGGGGGGGGGGGCATATTGAATTATACAACGGGCCGGATTTGGCCCGCGGGCCGTAGTTTGCCCATCCCAGGTCTAGAAGTTTAACGACCTAACCATCGAGGTCATCCTTTCATTTGATATTGATCTGATCTTTCCAATAAATAAATAAAAAAGAATGATAAGATTTTACCTTTCCCGGAACCGATCTCTCTAATTGACGGTGAAGCCGCAAATTTCACTCTTCGTCCAGTGGGAGTGGGGGAATTACCGGTTGGGGAGGCATGGAAACTATTTCTATGGGACAAGGGGTGGGGTGTGTGAGGGGTATGCGGAGTATGTGGACTTTGTGTGGCGGACATTTTGCATTCTCAAATAGTCACATTGAATGCCACTCAAAATACTGTTTGAATACCTTGACGCCTCTTCCTATTACGTCAAATGTGTAGTTCAATAAACACAACTACTTCGCCTTTTAAAATATATGATGACGTAACTTTGTATTTTGTTACTATCGTAATTTAATAATTACGGTTGCGGGGACACTTATCCAAAACACGATGACGTCACTCCGTATTACGTCAAAATTGTAATTCCCTGGCCACGATTACGTCACAAGTACCAAGTCTTTTCGATATCAAACCAATGATTCACTAACTTATGAACGCTCTTCAAATGCCGTGCAAGCGATTTTTCGGGGCATTTCATACGCTTACCAGTGGGCATTATACGCAAGCAGTTTTTAGTAGTATATTGTTATGCTTCCATTTTCCCGTGAAAAATGTGCTATGTGCCCGTTTGAATATTACCCACATTGGTATGTGGCATTCACACACAAGGCGCTAACTTATTTGTCGGACCTAGTCAAAACTATGTAAACCGGTGGCTTCCGTAAAACCGACATCATAGATAATGTTTTACAACTGATGGTCCATGGCCCCATGGGAAATTTTTTGGCGAATCCTAATGCCTTTTCCTAGCACTTAAAATAATAATTTCAGAGGAATCTGGGCTGGGATTCAAAAACATTAAAACGAAGTAATTCATGACTCTTTCTTACTCTAACACAAATACATTTTTGCATCTTTTATCTGACCCTCAGATAATTCAACTATTCAGATAAAAACGAATAGTTATCTACAATTCTTCTGCAGTTTGCATTAGTCTAGTCCAGAGATGTGCATCATTTTTGTCGGCGGGCCATGTAACCATACTCAGACATCTATCAGGACCAAACACACACAAAAAAAAGAAATTTATCCACGCGGGAAAAGCGAAAGTAAAGTATGTGGCTATTGCTTACTCATGTAGTAATGAAGAAACCGGACAAAACGGCGAAAGATTTAACGCAGCAGGATTAAAACTAGAATATCGGTCAGAGACCGAAGACTTATCGATCGAAAATTAGGAGGTCCCCCGAAACAGCGCTCTTACTCTATAGTAACACCTTGTGTCCAATCGCTAATTAATTAATAACTCGCTAATTATAGGACATAATCCATCCAAAATCGATAGGCTTCTGGTACGACATGTGATGAATGCACATGCAAAATCTGGAGCAGATTCAATCTCGCTTTCGTAAGATATCGCGAGCATCTAACAGACAGACAAATACCTATCAACATACTTACCGATTAAATAAATCGATGAGTAACAACATAATGTGTTTTTATCCACGTGATCAACTTATTAAGCATAAAATTTCAAATTCGGATTCATATAAACGAATTACATATAAATTCAACTTATTTTACAGGAAAATTTTAGCGTATTCTGAACAATGAATCAAACACCCTTTGTGATGTCAAAACAGCCAAAATTTGGGTCAGTTGTCGGGCCCGATAAGGGTCATTATGAAAAAATAATTAGCCTCTTTGCGACTTGAACCATCTTAATTAGTGAAAAACTTTTAAATCAATGTTCCACCAGTGGCAAACAAAAGCTACTTTTTTACAACAAGAATTAGGCAAAGCGATCTATACATAATATTAATGAATTACTCACAATAACATATAAATTCAATATATTTTACAGCTTAAATAAAAGTGCATAAATTACCTAGTTTTATCTTCACTTGCTTCTTTTCCCGCCTTTTTTCACTCGGTTTCATTGTCTATTCTTACGTCACAAACTGACTATAAGTACCCTCAATAAACTATTATATATACAAATTACTCGATTTTTTCCAAGAAGTATACTATCAAAAACTTCTCGCTTACACCATGACGAACGAACGAAAACGAGTGTCGTAGCTGATAAACCGTAAAGATTTTCGATGCATTTATTCAAAAAATCAGCTTAATTTGAACGATTGACCGTAACCCTTGGATATTATATCCAAAATGTTTTGTCTGTTTGTCCCACACAAAATTACCGCGTTAAGTATTTTAAAATTTGATCCGGCGATTGCAAGTTTTCTCAAATATTCCCATCTTTCAACTACAGCGTAAGCGTACGAGTACGCAAAACTGGGTTTTTACAAAAGTTTACCTAAAGAAGCGCTCCAATCTTCAGCTGAAAAAATGCTGCACTGACAGAGGAGTGGCATGCGACCACTGACTTTTCCTCGGTTATAAATACAGAAGTGTGCTTGACCTAAAGTTTCAAGTTCTCGAATACAAATAGTACCGCTGTAAGAGTTGTATAAAAACACCAATTCGCTAATATAACTTCGTATTGATTTTCATACACTTCTTTCAACGGAAGGCCCCAAAGAATCAACTGAAAAAGTAGATTTTTATGGGGATATCAAGAAAATGGATTTCTCAATACTAATGTAGAGAACATTGTACGATATAAAACCTTGTTTAATCGGCAAAACAGATTTGTAGCTTTGATCTTATCCGATTTGCGGTGGCGAAGAAGATATTCAGCCTTTGAAGAAGAAGTTCAAATAAACACAGTGACAAAGTTTCACGAGATCAGCATATACAATACCCTACCTAGGAAAGCGGATAATTCGTTATTATACCAACAAAAATACGATACAAATTTTTAAATATTTAAAACTGACGCAATCGACTGTGAGAGCCCGAGCGGCCACACTGCCATGAATTACTCTCCCGCCCTTTTTCCATCACCGCCTTCCCCCTCATAAAGCCGTATTGTAGCCAGAACATAAACTAAACCGAACCAAAAATATTATTAAAACTGCTGCACTTCAACAACCTAATAAAAATATGCACCTTTCGCCATAGAGACAACATACAACGGAGTACTTCAAACACACACTACAATATACGATATACATATTTAAAAAACATCGTAAAAATTATAGGAAATTCGAAGTTATTACAAATAGGCACGGTTTAAGAGTCGTTTTATGTGTGGCCATTTATTGATACGTTTACAAAACAAGCGGCCCAAGCTTGTTCGTGAATCAAAATAATAAAACGATGAAATACAGCTACTCACACTTTCTTTTAAATTTACTCTAATTTTTAACAGTATGCCTAATTAATCATAATTTAATGTCAACACCTTCTTACGCACGGCCCATAGTTAATCCCAATCTGTTTTACCATTTTCCATACATGGCAAATTATTAGTTGAAACTTTCTCATGTAACCTTAAACAATGGCTGTTTACTCTTATTCAAGGAGTTGCAAACAAAACTGACTTTATTAAATTAGGTCTTTTCATATCAACTCTACCGTGGTTAATTAAATTTGATGAAGTGCTTCCGTACAATTTGAGTGGTGGTTCGAGTTGTATATTGAGACGTTTAGGTGGTCGTTGAAGTCGGATATTTACAAAACTTCGGGTTGTGGTTTAGGTTCCGCATTTTATAATAAAACGTTTGATGGTCCCTAGAGTAGGGAAATGGCGTAATGGAGTCGGAGAAGTGGTTGGAGTCGGATATCCGTGGAACCCAGGTGGTGATTGGAGTTTGATATTAATAAACTCAGAGTGGTGGTTGGAGTATTTTTACCCGGGTTGAGCTGTTTTCAATTCCGATGAATAATTTTAGAATTTATTTTTAAAGAGTGAATAAAATGTATGTATATGTTTATTCAAAATGTAACAGTATTTGCATGATATATTTAAAGGAGACATTTTCATGCCCTGGCTGGCCTAAGATACAGTTGTGTCACAAGTAACCCTAAACAAATATACCTGCAGTTTAGGACTGCTGCGTAATATAATAGGACAACATACACAAAATAACGAAAATATTTCTGCAAAACTCTATGTATAATTCACAAGACAGAGGTTTGCGGCGCCTTGACGATCTGTACAATGGCAAGTTTATGGCGTGTCCATGTCCCAGGTTTAGGTGTGTAAGGTTGGGAGCAATGTTCCCTCTAATTTTTGTAGTATGTGTGCGCAGACATCTATTCGTGTGCGCAGCCTCTGAAAGCTGTGTGCGCTCGCACACACGCACACCTCAGAGGGAACACTGGTTGGGAGTTTACAGCCCACAGGCGGGATTTGGCCCAAAGAAGTGTTTCGTCCGATCCACTTATGCCTGCTAAAATTACGACTATAGTTTTAATGGATATACATTTCGGTTGAGATTATCGATGAAAATAACTATATCTAGTTAATTGTTACGTATCAACAATAAATAATACGAAAAAGTAATTTTAGTAGAGAATTACTTTTTATAGAATGAATTGATATTTCGCGGCACACAGTATGGGCCCCACTGATTAATTCCATACAAACGGATGGGCCGAATGAAACCTATAAAATCGCCTCTCCCATTGTATAAACATCAAACGATACCTAGATCCCTCTTATTGTATTCGTTACAATGGCCCGCTGTATGATCAAACAATTATCGATACACTAGGTATCTGTTCACTCATAATACCTCTCTGTACACCCAATCATTACACCAAACAATCACAAATTATGGTTATATCATGTAAGGGCCAGAGATATTCTAAACTCTTTATCATTGTTCATGCTTGTTGCATAAAAGGAAGCGAACGCCATTGTCCAAGAATTTTTTTATTTTTCTGTAAATTTTAATTGTTACATCACAAAAGCGAAGAAAATCGAGTATAACTTGCGCATAGCATTGAGATAGGTCATCTAAAACTTGATTTTTGCCGACGGCTTAATCACGTTGATAAAACCCAAAATTGAAAAAAAAATGTCTCCTTTATATACCTCGATTGAATCTATGATCACATTCTTGTTTTCCACATTGAAAATGAAAGTAAGACAGTGCGCTTCTCGGAACTGGGGGTCGCCGAAAAGTTTAATGTATTGTAAGGGGTCGCGAGCTTAAGTTTGGTAATCCCTGTTATGAATCATTGGAAAGACGGAAACTAGAAATATGCGAAGACAAATTACTATCTTAACCTAAATGCATAACCACGAAAAGAAATAAAACAGGAAACAAACCTCTTGCTCTCATGAACTCCATTTCCATCACAACACTGGATCGCCTACTTCGCGGCATTTTTGCTGATAATCGGGTCGTCAGCTCACGAAACGTTAATTTAATTTCTAATGCCTTCCTACAGCGCTAAGCCTATGTCTGACATAGTTATGCTACTATATATCGTTTTTATTAAAGATATACTATTGTGACAAGTTTAATTTCTAAAATTTTGAATATTCCGAAACACAATTCTTCCATTGATAAAACCTAAAATCAAGGGCCCATTTACGTTTACTGTTACCCACCCATCAAACTATCGTCCTGGGTGCTATCCTCAATTTCTGATCTGAGTCGGTGTCAATATTTAGATTTTCTGGAGTCTGGAGAAGGGTCAAAATTTTCAACTGGTCCCAATTTTAGTGATTCGGTTTATTTTTCTGTTCATTCCCACGACAATAAGCTTATTTTCCATCAGGATCTTGGTACGCTTGTATTTACTAGTTAACGACACAACAATAACTTTGTTGTTTGTTTTGATAAACTTATACGGGACCTTCAAGAATTTAAAATACAAAACGCCCAAAAAGGTTGTGTTTGAGAAAATTTCGACCAGATAAAATAAAATCCGGTTGACAAAAAGGTTGGCTTTGACTGTGCCGGACTTTGATATTGAAAATTTAAACTTCAACTGCGGATTTCGACATAAGAAAGTATTGAGTACGGAAACTTTGACTTTCTGTGATTCACAACTTCTACAAATTTGCAATTACGGCTGTAAAGTGTACAAAATTTAAACTTTAACTCCTTTTTAGATGTTTAATTATCAATTCAAAATACGACTTCCGATTCCATCTTCAATACCTATCAATAAGCCGTAGCTACAAACCAATTTTCCGCAGCCTTTTATCGTTTCGCCCATTTTCAATTGCGCACTTATCCTCAGTCCCATCATTATAGCCAGCCACCTAAATATAACGTGCTTGAGGCCCCTTTCGAAACGTATTCTTGTTATAAGCTTCAATACATGCCGAAAGCGCTTCCAGTCAGCTTAATGTCCAAAGTATAAATATCAGTTGTAAGCCATGTAATACACGCTACGTATGCGTGTTGGCAAACATTTGCGAAGATTTTTGAGCCTCGTGTGAATCAGTATTACCTGACGCCTAATGCTCAACTATGATTATGTAGTTACGTTAACTTTCGGCATCACCATGGTTTCACTTGACTTTGCTTTAGATATGAGTCTACATTACTTCCGTGTACACGTCAGCCTTTAGTACTCGCTCACGGCTGGTGAACTAACTGGTAACAAAACGAAAGTATGTGGTTCGCCGTATAATTCAGTCAACCTAACGACTTTCCTCTAATCCCTGGGAATATAAAAAACCCACCCGCCTAACTTCGATACACTACCTTCGGAGTGGCTGGTTCTAAATCCCATACATATATGACTATGTGCTGTTATTAAGCGGTATAGAATTATGCGTGAATAACTCTAAATAGTATGATGGGAAAACATGAGAATCTGGAAGTGTCCTAAAAACTTGCGAATAAAAACATACGTAATTATGTAATAATGATCTCCAGTATGTCATTATCACCCACAATCGCGTTTTATTGATTTCCGACAGACAAGTAGTCTAAATGGTACCAAAGTGGCCCGACCCCGGATGGCGAACCACTGCCCCTGGTCCAGTTACCAGTTTATGTAGGGTATGGAATTAGTTAGCCAGTAAGTTATTTTAGACGCATAGACTTGATTGTGGCTCCGTGAATCAACCACGGTGGCTCTATTCTAAACATATTTTTTTAATAGTCATCCAGTTGATAGGAAACCTACTAGGATGTCTTAATCCTATGACAAACCCCAAACACTACTGCCATAAACCTAAAGTATGCGTTATACCTATTTTTATATTTATCCCGGGGAAATAAAAGCCGACATTACGACTCAATCACATGGCGAGCCACACACCACAATATTGCTCTGAATATTCAAATCATAACACTGCCAAGCCGACGAAGTTAATCCTTGGTAAATAAGCCCCAATGTTTTAGTATCCCTCACTCATCCTAGCTAAGCCTGACCACTAAACACTTCGCGTAGACTAGCACCACTTTACCGGCACAACGCGACTTTTACGGAGTAAACACTCAAAACAATCACGCGCGAACAGAAAAGATCCTTGCTTTTATTATTCTAACGTCTTTGGCCACCTTTGGTAAACGCCATTCGTTCAAAACGCTCATTTTTAAATGTTAACGACTATTAAACCACGTATAAGCACCCTTATACGATCTCAAGCGTCGCGTCTGTGTCGTCAGAACACAATAGCCAATTTCCTTTATTACAAAAGAATAGGATTTTGAAAATTCAGTGTTACATCATACATGGTCTGTACATTAACAATCGATAATAGATGAATAAATAAATCACACCGCTACTGTGAAAATATAAGTAAAACTAACATAATTTTTACAGTATTAGTATAAATAGTAGCATGTTTTCAAAAATGATACAGTTTTAAAGGTTTAAGCGCGGATCCAGTATACACAACTTATACATATATACATGGTATGCGTAAAGCACGTATCTAGCTACTGCACCTCTATTCTTTATTCTGTGATAGCTTACATGGTAACCGTACATGTGAACCCATGTGTATATCCCCGGGTTCAATACACATGTGGGTGCTAAAACCCATGGGTTAGGGTTAGTATGGGTTCAAATATCCGTAAAACAATTTGTTCCCCATAGGTGCAATAGTATGCAGGTGCAATAGTCGTGGGTTCAAATGTAAAGGAACCAGCTTATATATCTGTAAACGGAAATACGGCTTCTTTGGAAACTAAAAACACATTTCAAGCACGAGAACAGACAACAGAAATTATGTTGTCTTATAGGAGTCCTATACAAACGAAGAATTAGTATAAATAGAATGTTCCATACACGATACAATTTTAAAGGTTCTTTTTGATTGCAAGGCTATTTAGTATATATATAGACAAGCAGTATACAAGATATAAAAAACGCGGGTTACATTTAGACAACTTGTACATACGGTGTATGACACGTACAGCTCAGACAAAGCCTCCTGCCTCCAGATCATGATAGGCTATCTAGCATCGATGGAAATGATTGGAGTAAATTAATTTGTTGATATTAAATGGGCCTATTAGTAGCTTCGACAAGTTTAAGCACATTGAATACTATCTGTTAATAAACTTGATATTATTGAAGCCTAGTATTTGCAAGCCTAAACGAACCACCGTCTCATGCTAAATACAGATGGTATCAAAATACAATGAGACGAAGGCAGTCCACAGGTGACAATATTCATTATTCAAAACACAACAAAATGAAAAATATCATAACTTTGTATTAATAATTAAGACCACCGTTGTCTAATGATGGCCCACACAAACGAATTGCTCGGGGACCAAGAGATAGTCATAACACGATATTAGAGAATTGAGAATTTCCAAGCCTAATTGAAACAACGCATGATGCTCTCAAAGTCTAACGCAGTGAGACGAATGCAGTCCCGAAGTGACAATAATTAGTGATGAAAACACAACAACAACAAATTGAGCAGTAACGTCGTGATAATGATTAAGGCCGTCCCCGACAAATGAAAAAACAAATTGCTCAGAGCCTGGTCTGAGTAGAGGCAAGGATAATACGAAAATAAAACCTTCGATTCAACGAAGTACAAAATACCTATTAAAGTAATTTCACTTTAGGAGTGCTACGGGTCTAGTTTTATTTAACACTTTAGACCTAATGTTATCAAGAGCTATGGAAAGGCGCGCGACTCCCTGCGGCCACATATGTAGCACCCCCGTTGAGGTTTCGGTACTTCCGTAGTACGTGTACCAGGTTAGGGTTAAGCCATAATTTTATTCCGATTTTTCCTATTTTAGTCCTATTACAAGTTCAGGGACTCTCTGTGTTAGCCAAGTGAATATATCCCCTATTCATAGGTTTCAGTCCCTTTACACAACTTGGATGTGAAATAGGCAAACAAAATTAGTTACCTCCATATTGGTACACACACAGCGCCAAGGTTGTGTTACAAACAATCTCTCACTACACCGTCGTAATAACATCATTAAATTCTTGTTAACTTTGCGCATTTCCCTATATTGTCTGTATATATTTGCCTACTCGAGGGGTCGTATCAAAATGGGCTTGCCTCGTTTGTATAGAAACACACTTTAGGGACTCAATGAGTCTATCAATATATAAAGGTAAACTCGAGACATATTAAATTGTGAATAAAGCCTGAAGACAAACCGTGCGTCTTCTATGATGGACGACGTTTGAGGCTCAAAAAGGCGAAAATTGTTATCACATAATGTTTCAATAGAATAAATCTAACTCGGAAACAACTTACACTTATATTTTTACTCAAATAATAACGTATCTCAATTCAACAACAGTCGTTAAAAATTATCAGTCAACGATCAAGAGGGAGCGTTTATATACATTGTCATGAGTGCCATTTTACGTATAGATACGTCACTGTGAATCTTTTTAAAACGTACCCTAATGCGCAATGCACGACAATAATTCTGAACAGTTTTAGTGAGTACGTAACTTTGTTCAGACATGCCCTCGCTTTATTTAGCATTCTCGAAACTTTCTGTAAATTTCTGAGTTTTGTTTCTGCTTTTTTCGCGCAAGAAAACAAAAATAAAAAAAGGTGAAAATATAAACACCCTTGTTCATTCTCCATTGCTCTGGTCAGCACGCATAAATATCACAATGAAAATTAAAAATAAAGACTCATGACTCAAATTTAGTCCCTTTTGTTGCCACAAACAGTAGGATGTTCATTTTTGATATTACACATCCGATTTTGTGTCTGTTCTTGACCGCGGAAGCGCAGAACTTAAATCTGACTATAACTTGTATAGCAGTATAGATCTCAACCTTTTATGGTTCGTGGCCGCCTTCAGAAAAGTTTATCACTCATGGCCCCCTGTTTATCATTCCAGTGGTATTTATAGTGTTATTTTGATTGGTAGATTCCAAATCCCAATATGTTCAAACAATTCATGCTCATCAGAATGAAAACATTCTGTGAAATACCTTATCAGGCAATGAAACCAGGAAGAACTGCGATTTTACTTGTGAAGGGAACTGTAAAATTAGTTCTGCGCCTAGCATCGTTTGCCCGCGCAAAGCGATCTGTGACCCCCGGTTTAGAACGA